AGTGCTCCCCTTCCCCTTCATCATGTGCATATCTGCCCATCTGGGTGCAGCCAGTGCCTTAGCTTTAGGGAAATAGCTAATTCTGGCCCTCCTTCATAACTAGTGTGTGACAAGCCATTTTTCTTCTTAGGGCTTCCCCAGTCTCCCTACTTGCTCCCTAGGGATTATTCTAGCATCTACTTCCTAGGATTTTGTCTGATATTCATACTTATAAACACCTGTATTACATGTGAAAATGGAGGTCGGGTGTCATCTGCTGCTCATGTAAAAGCATAGATTCGGGACAATTACAGAAAGTGATTGAAAACATATTCATTCTCTGAGAAAAGTAAGAACATGGAAACATGCAGAGACACACAATCACACACAAACATACACACACAGATACATATGTGTACAGGCACACATAGACAAAGAGACACAAACAAACCTCCATAAGAGCACAGAAGGAAGACAATGCAGTTAAGGTTGAGTTAGGGTGTTAGGAGTTAGTGTTAGGACTAAGGATTAAACTTGAAGGTTAGAGGTTTTGCTTAAGGTCAGGGGTTAGGAATTAAGAATTAAGGGGTTAGAATTAGAGTTAGGTAGTTAAGAGTTGTGTCCATATACACATCTATGTACACACATTTACACATACATACACCCCATACACATATCCACAAAGACACATATACATATTTCCAATACATATGCATACACATTCCCCTCATATGATACGCACCCACATATATACACACATATCTCCCTGTATGCAGACATATTTTCCCCATATATACACATACTCAAATAGGCCACATATACACATTCAACCCCTCAAATACACACGTATAATACCAACTCACAAATACAGTACATCCACATTCATATCACACATATCCACATAGCACATATGCCCCAAAACAAACTCACATAAACATATATACACATACACACCCACATATCTACACACTTCCACCACACATCTCACATACATAACTGTATACATATATATACACATATATACCTATACCCCCAAATATATAGATACATATACCTCCCAAATTACATGCATGCATACTTATACTCCCCCACATATACACATACAAACATATGCATACCCCTTACATACACTCATATACACACATGGTCCACATACCACACACACCTAATCTCACATACACACACCTGACCTACACACCCATATTAACATACTTACCTCACATACACATGCCCATATTAATACCCCTCATGTCCATATACACCATATACATACCTCCACAAACATAACTCACATATACACACACATATACACACACCCATCCCACACACCTACACACATCCATACCTCACATATACATACTCCCCCATGTGCTCACATACTCATGCTGTTGGACAAGCCTGCCATGATTTTTCAAGCAAAAGATTTGCATTTCCCTGATGATTATGTTGACGATCTTTATCAATGGCTTATTGGGTATTTTCATATTTTCTTTGGGATTTTGATAGGGATTGCATTGAATCTGAGATGTATTCTGTGTACTTAAGTATTTAATTTCATCAACGTTTCATAAATGTTTTTGCATTTTTCAGTGTGTAAGTCTGTCACCTTTTTGGATAAGTTTATTCCTTAGTATTTTATTCTTTTAGATGGTGTTGAAGGAGAATTGTTTTCTTGTTACTTTTTTGGACTATTCATTGTTAGTGTACAGAAATACAGCTGATTTTTGTGTGTGGATTTTGTATCCTGCAACTTTTCTAAATTAATTTATTAGTGATAGTTTTTCAGTTAATTCTTTGAATTTTTTCTCTATAAAATCATGTCATGCCGGATGCCAGTGGCTCATGCCTATAATCCTAGCTACTGGGGAGGCAGAGATCAGGAGGATTGTGGTTTGAAGCCAGCCCAGGCAAATAGTTCTGCATGACCCTATTTCAAAAAACCTTTCACAAGGATAGGGATGGTGGAGTGGCTCAAGGTGAAGGCCCTGGGTTCAAGTCCCAGTACTGAAAAAAAATCATGTCACCTGTGAACAGAGATAGTTTTGCTTCTTTATTGCCAATGTAGATGCCTTTTATTTCTCTTGCTTATCTAATTCTCTGGCTGGAATTCCAGTCCTATGTCAAATAGAAGTGATGTGAGTGAGCGTCAGTTTTTCACTATTGAATGTGAGATTAGCTGTGGGTTTTTCACAAATATTCTTTATGATATAGAGCAAGTTTCTTCTACTCCAAGTTTGTTGAGTGTTTTTATGTTGTTGGGTTCTGTTAAGTGCTTTTTTTACATCACATAATTTGTTTCCTAATTCTATTAATGTACTGAATTACATTGATTAGGCAACTCTGATTTTCTAAGATAAACTGGAAGCCTATATTCAAATAGGGCATCTTCTTTTATTTTAACTTGTTATTATTTTATGATTTTTTGTGTTGCTAGGGATTAAATCTAGATTTGAGCATGGTAAGCAGGCACTATTTCACCCAGGCACATCCCCAGCCCTCTTCTTACTTTTTAAATATGGACATACATTTTATTTTTTATTTCTAAGACACCCCTCCACACTCAGCTATTAGCCAAATTGACCCTGGGGCCCCCAGCTTTAAAACAGTGATCAAGAAACTTAAAAAGCCTTCATCCTTTGACTCAGGAATTCCATTTCCAGTGAGCCATCCAGAAGAGATAATCCCAAATGTGGATACAATTTTTAAATGTACACTTGGTGTGTATCATTTTTAAAGCCCAAAACTGGAAAGTCTCTGGATACCCATAATGGGGTCCTATAAACTGTTGTGACTGATTGCAACAGGTTGAATGTTTGTAGCCACTTAAGTATAATCTTACTAAAGACTGTAAAATGTCCTCCATAACATAACAATTGTCACTAAATATAACTGTAATTGTCATTGGCTATGGATATACATTTCTCCCTATGACAAGAAGAAGAGGGTCTCCCCAAGACTTCCTCTACCTACTAGGTTAGGTTTGTTCAACAGTAGGACATTTCCCTGCTGCCTCTTTCCCTTCCTCTTTTTCCACATTTGATATGATGCACTGATACAGCTTTCCTTATGGTTTCACTTTTCATGTTTGATTCACATTTAAAACATTTCAATCTCAGAAGCACATTTCCATACGTCAGAAGCACATTGCCCCCTTTGCTGGTTACCTGATTTCTACACCCATTTGCCCAACTCTCACACATGGGAGCTACTTGGGCAGGAAAAAATTCCCTTGCTCAAACCCCTATGAATTTTCATGAGCACTTGAATCAAAATAATCTTTTGAAGTAGGCACTGATGGCTTATGCCTATAATTGTAACAACTTGGAAGGCTCAGATAGTAGGATCTTGATTCCAAGCAGTTTGGGCAAAACATGGGCAAAAGTTCATGAGACACCATTTCAACCAATAGCTGGGCATGGTGGCACACACCTATCATCCCAGCTATGCTGGAGGCTGAGATTGGGAGGATCCTGGTTCCAGGCTAGCCTGGGCAAAAAGTGGGCAGAAAGTTTGGAAGACCCCATATCGACAGAAATAAAGCTGGGTGTGGTGGCACAAACCTGTCATCCCAGCTATGGCAGGAACCCTAAACTAGGAGGATCGCCATCTAGGGTGGCCTTGTTAAAAGGAAGACCCCATCTTAAAAATAACCATAGAAAAAAGGGCTGGAGCTATGGCTCAAGCAGTAGAGTGCCTTCCTATCAAGAGAGTAGGCCTGAGTTCAAAGTCCAATACCCCAAAGAAAACAAAAGCATCTTGAACATACTTTCTGATGTTGCTAGTTACCAGAGACCCACACTTCTTCATGAACCAAACACAGTACTGTGACTGTGCTGCTGCTTCATTCCATGGTTCTCCAAGCCACCTGATCCAAGCAGCCAATTTTGTCCTTCCTTCTTGAGAGTAACTTTATGAGATGAGGCTACTCTGTAGAAACCTCATAGTTCATTCTACGTGTTCCCCCTGTAGAACCTGCATTCTGCATTGAGTATTGTAGGTCTAGACATCAATGAGGTACCTTGAAAACACACAAAAAAAATCCTGTTGCCAGCTCACCAACTTGGGTCTATCACATCCACATGACACATGTGAACAACACTAAGAATAAGGGAAATATAGGGGCTGTGAGGGGCAGACAAAGGACACCTGGTCCAGATGTAGCTTCTCAAAGCTGGTGGTGCTCAGCCAGGTACTGAGAGGTGGATTAAGGGAGAAAATGTTCCACAAGTTTTCCCTTGTTCTCAGAGAACTTTTGTGCCCCTCTTCTCATTGACCCCTATGGGGAGAAAAACCAGTTTTAAGTAGCTTGGTAGTTGTTGAAGTGAGAAGTGGTTGTCTTTCCTAGGTAAGCGAACAGATGTATAGCACCAGTGTTAGAACGATTAGAATGTCTGAAGTAGAAGAAGGAATAGTCTCTGGCTTGGATCAGAAGCTAGACAGAAATAAAAAGTGTCAATTTGTGTTTCTGAATGAATCTAGAACCCCCTGCTTGCTGAGGGAGCACTCTTCCACTCAGCCATGCCCCCAAGTGTTCCCTGCCCTTTAAAATGTTTTCAGAACCTCATTTAATAGCCTACACAGTAGCCTGCTGCCCACCCTCCCCTGCATGTCGGGAGAGTGTCTGCTGGTCACTGCACAATGACTCCAAACTCAGTACTTACTGTACACACAGCTTTCCTTTAGGTTGGAAAATAGTTTTCTTTGAATGTTCTAACCAACCTTTCCCTGGTTGGTATTAAAGTTTAATTATTACCAAAACATACACAATTTATGACCACTTGGAGCTTAGCGTCCAGTACGGAAGACATTGAGTATTAACCACCAAAGCAAATATAAAATCCTAACAGTGATAAACGCCAAGAAAGAGAGATGCAGGGAGGTCAGGGAGGGTAATCCGAGCCAGTGAAGCTTAAACTTATATTGAGTCACCTTGGTAAGTGCTGGTATCAGACAGTTCCAAACAGGACTAGCTTGTGAAAAGGTTCTGCGACAGAGAATGGCACACTGTGGACAGTTGAAAGAAGCTTCAAGCCACGCGCTGTGGCCGTTGGGTCAGCATCCGGGCACCTGGCGCGAGCACAGAACTCAGAGCGCTCCTGGGCTGCTGGGCGAGCTCCCCGGAGACGGTTGGGATAGCTCCTCGGAGACCTGTTGGGGCAACTCCCGGGAAACCTTTGAGACAACTTGGAGACCTGGGGGGCAACTCTCCCGAAGACCTTGAACTGGCAGCAGGCGGTTCAACGCAGAGGCTGCTTGCGCACCTGCTGTCCCGCGCGCTCAGGGAGATGAGCGAGGAGCCCTCGAAGGAGGCAGAGTCCGAGGCCCAGGAGCGGGCCAAGCCGGCCCAGTCGGTGTCCGCAGCCTTCCTGACGCCCGAGGCCGTGACCACGGACGAGGCTCAGCGGGAAGCAGGCCCCAAGGAGGAGTCCAGCCGCGAGAGGGTGTTGGAGTCCCAGGCCGCGAGACGCGGGTCGGGGTCCGAGGCGGAGCAGGAGCCGGCGTCGGATCCTGGGCCGCAGCCGCATCCTAGCTGGGCCTCCGGGCCGCCGGTGGAGCGGCCGCGGCCTGTGGGGCAGGAGGCGCCCGCCGCGTCCCCGGAGCCGCCGCGCCGCTGCCACACCGACTGCCTGGAGGCACCGCTCTCCCGCGTCTTCGGCCGGCTGGGTAGAATTGTGGGCTCCTACCCTTGGGCCTTCCTGCTGGTGCCCGTGATGCTGACGGCTGCTCTGGGCACCGGCTTCATCTACCTGCCCAAGGAGAAAGAAAACCTGGAGGAGCAGTACACGCCGATCGGGAGTCCAGCCAAGGCCGAGCGGCGCTTTGTGCAGGCCCACTTCAGCACCAATGACTCGTACCGCTTCTCCGCCTCCAGAATGAGCACTGAGGCCAACTTCGCCTCACTTCTGGTGGTCTGCAACACCCCCTCGCTGCTGGAAGGAGAAGTCTTTGCAGAAATTAGTAGGTTGGACCAAGCTGTGCAGAATCTGAAAGTGACCCTGGAGAACGGAACCCAGATCCTCTACCGTGAGGCGTGTGCCAAGTACAAGGCATTTTGTGTGCCCCCTAACCCACTGTTGTTTGCCTGGCAGCACAACAGAACAATGGACCTAGGAAAGCTGACCTTCCCCATCTTCCACCTCTTGGGCCACCCAGTCTCCCTGGCTAACTTCTTAGGAGGAAATGTCTTGGGCGAGAGGGTGGGAAAGAACCACTTCCTCCTGCAGTCCAAAGCCATGCGGCTGCTGTACTTCCTCAAGACGGAGCAACCAGAGGAAAGCGAGCAGAGCAAGGAGTGGCTCATCCACTTTTTGGAGCAGTTTAACAACATTAAGGACCGTTTGGCTTTGGAGAAGATTAAGGTATCTGAAGGTTAGGGTTTACAGGGAGGCCTAGGAGGGTGAGAGGTATGAGAAGATGTGTTCCTTGGATAGTAACAGCAGCACTCCCTGATTATTTTGGTGGGGTCCTTCACTCAAAGCTGAGTGTATTCTGTACTTAATTCAACTTTCTTAACACTGAAGGATGGCACAGATTATAAATTCTTGGTAATAGTCTGGTCTATAGCACAAATCCTATTCTGCCAGGTAGGTCTGTTTGGTACTGAAATTGATCTTCATTCACACTTAGGTTGGGGTTTGTTTTTCTAATTAAACTACCTTGAAATTTTTTTAGTTAATCTTCGTTGGTTGCTGGGAGCCCCTTAAAACTTATTTGGTACTCATTATTATTTAAAGATGAATCCATATGGTAAAAATTCTATTATGCAGTTTAAGAAGATAAGTAGCTCAACGTTTTTCAAGTTAATTACAGGTGGCTGAGTGTGAGACAGGTTAGCTGATCAGAAATTTTTTGGCCGTTGACACTAATACTTATAAATCAAGTGAGAGCTATTTGAAAGAGCCTTTGAAGACCAGGCCTTCCTGAAATGATAATTATGCAATTAAAATAGTAAAAGTCATCAATCTAACAAAATTTAGAAAAAATTTAGAAAAATTTAGAAAAAATTGCAATTTCCACAGCTATTAATGAGGACAAGATTTCACAGTTTTATATAAAATCCAGTTTGGGTATATTTAGTTTTAAACTTTGCAAGTTTAAACTTCGAAAGAAATTTTAAACCAGCACAAGACAGATTTTGTGGAAAAAGCAAAACAAACAAACCAACCCTATGTTTCTCTGTTGTGAAATTATAGCCCACATGTTTTTATCTTTCATGTTTAACATTTCTATCTATAAGTTAAAGTGTTTGAAGTGTTTGTGAAAATTGTTTATCTGCATATGCTTCTGTCACAGGTTGTCCACTTCACATCACTTTCTAGACAAATGGAATTTGAGTCAACTTCTATGACGGTGATTCCTTTGTTTCACTTGGCATATATTCTAATCATACTGTTTGCAATCGTATCATGCTTTAGGTAAAACACTTTTTTCACTCTCTTATTTCTTTGTAAAAAATTTCTGTGATGCAATGTATATAATATATATCCACAAAATGTATATAATCTATTTACATAAAATATGGATATGCATATTTAAGTGTATGATTCAATGACATTAACTATATCCACACTGTAGTGTGAATATCCATTGCAGCTGTTTCCAATTGTTTTCCATGATTCCAAATAGATACTTTGTGTCTATTGTGCCTCAGTCCCCAAATCTCTCTCCTCCAGGGCCAGTTAACCTTTAACCTATTGTGTAGCTCTGTGAATTTGTCTGTTCTGGAGATTTGTCCTTTGTGACTGGCTTTTTTCACTTAGCATGTTTTCAATGCACATCCCTATTGGAATAGGTATCAGAATTTCATTCCTTCTTATGGCTGAATAATATTGAGTCCTACAATTTTGTTGTTTTTCCAGATTATTTTGGCCATGTTGGGTTCCTTGCTATTCCATAGGAATTTGAGACCTGGCTTCTCCATTTGTGAAAAAAAGGAAAGTGGAATTTTGATAGGGGTCAGGAAACATGTTGAAAATGTGGATTATTTGGTGCAAGACTGACATTCAAGCAATAGTTAAGTCTTCCCATCACAAGTTGGTGATCACTCCATGTACTTTAGTTCTTTCACTCGGAATTTGTTTAGCTTCTTTCACTTTGAATTTGTTCATTAACTTTGGTAGTTTTCTTGTGGATAACTACCACAAGAATTTTCACATATAGGATCATGTAATCTGTGAAAAGGGATAGTTACATTTCTATCTTTCCAATTTAATAGAATTTTATTTCTGTCTATTTCCTCTGGTTGGAACTTTTGTTATAATGTTAAACATCAGTGGTGAAAGCAGACATCCTTGCTTCCTTTCTAATCTTTATAGGATGCTCTTTCCATCTTTCATACTTGAATATAAGGTCAGCTTTGTAATTTTCATGAATGCCCTTCTCAGTTTTAGGAATTTCTCTTCTAATTCTAGTTGTTTTTTATAATGAAAGAATTTTGGATTTTGTCAAGTTCTTTCTCAGCATCTATTGGGGTGATGATGTAACTGTTGCCCTTTGTTGTATTACTTGATGTCTTGACTGATTTTCTTATATATTAATGTGATGTGCTGTATTGATTGACTTTCTTATGTTGAAACACCCTTGCATTTCTGGTAGAAGTCCCACTTGACTGTGTCACATAATTCTTTCAATATGCTACTGGATTGTGTTTGCCAGAATTTGTTACAGACCTTTTCATCTGTAGTCATCAGAGATACTGGTCTTCTTTTCTTGTAATGTCTTTGGTGCTGCTGTAGTTGCTTCATACTATGAGTTAGGAAATATTTCCTCCACTTCAGTGTTTTGGAATAGTTTGAGAAGAATTCGTATTAATTCCTCCTTGGCTATTTGGTGGAATTCAACAAGGAAACAATCTGGTTGGTCCTCGAGTTTTCTTCACTGGGTGTTTTTGATTACTGATTCAGAGTTCTTACTTGTTATGCTTATTGAGATTTTCTTTTTCATTTTCAATCATTTGTGTATTTATAGAAATTTGTGCATTTCATCTTGGTTATTCAATTTGTTGGGATACAGTTTTCATAGTATTACGTTTTCTACTTCTATGAAGTCAGTAGTAATGTCTCCACTTTCATATCTAATTTATTTATTTCTGCCGTTTTGTTGCTCTAGATAGTAACTTTTAGTTTAGTTGATTCTATTACTTTTCTATTCTGTATTTTATTTACCCTTTTTCTACATTTTGGTGGTATTTGTGTATCTAGCATGCCTAAACATAGAAACAGTACAGTAAACATGACACAAAAATAAAAATGTTACACCTGTGTAGAACACTTGCCATAAATGGAGCTTGAAGGACTGGAATTTGTTCAGGGTGTCTTAGGCCTGGGACATTGCTACACTATTACAGATTTATAAATACTATATACTTGGCTATACTAAGTTTACAAAAAAACCTTTTTAAATAATAAATTAACTTTAGCCTACTTTATTTTTTAAGCTGTTTTCTTTTTGTTTTTTAAGTTTTTGACTTTTGTTATAACACTTAGCTTAAAACACAAACACATTGCACAGGTGTGGAAAAATATTGTCTATCTTTGTGTCTTTATCTTATAAGCTTTTTTCTATTTTTTTCTGTTTTTATACTTTTTTGTTGGAAACTAAGTCATAAATACCCATGTCAGCCTGCACCTACACAGGGTGGGGATCATCAGTGTCACTTTCCTCATCTTCTGTCAGTGGGAGGTACTCAGGGGTCAATACTGAAATTCTCATCAGTATATTAGTGCTTGGCTAGCCACATAAGAATCACCCAGAGCATTTAGTAAAAGCACAGATGGCCACTTTTATGTCCCCTCTTGCCAGGTGGTCTGGAATATTGCTGTGAATTTAATGGTCTGTAGCAGACACACATGGAAAGTATTAGCCAAGAGGGTTCTGACTATGTGTCCAAGTCAAGAGTTCTATCAAGTGATGAAATTTCAGTGTGGAAGTTCCATCACAAATATCATGATTTTCCCCCCAAATTTACAGGTTGGACTGTATACGAAACAAAATGTGGGTTGCAGTCATTGGAGTGTTTTCTGTTGCCATGGCAGTAGTGAGTGGTTTTGGCCTGCTGTTGCATGTTGGGGTGCCATTTGTGATCATAGTTGCAAATTCACCATTTCTTATTTTAGGTGAGTAAAGCAAAATGTGAAGCTTCACATTGTGTATGTGGAGTGTGGGGTATACAAGGGAATGAATAGTATTTAGGTGGATGTCTAGATCCAAAATGTGGATAATGTCCATAATTCAAATTGAATTATGTATCTTTAGTATTGGAAAAATCTAGTACCCCTCATGTGCATAGATAGGGGACACAATCATTCGTCCACAGACAAAAATAAGACAGTAATCACTGAAAATACAAGAAAAAACTGATCTTTCGATTTATGAAGGAATTCAATGTACATTTAAAATTGAGATAGCTTATTTATTAGATTAGTCAATGCTGCTAAGATTAAAGGGTTGAAATTTGTGTTCAAATGAACATCCTCATATTCTGCTGTGGGAACACATAAATCAGAATGCATATTTTTAGTCTAAGTTTGCAACAAATCAGAAGCATTAAAAAGGGAAAATTTTTGACCCAGCAATTACACTTATAGGAATTGGATTTATAATAAGAAAATAATGAAAACAACCTAATCCCACATCAATATGAGAGTTCTCAAAGCAGTCATACATATTAAAATATTAAAATCACATTCATTCTTTAAAACAAGATAGATATATAATCTTAAAGGAAAATTTCTTTATATGTTTGAAATAGAAGATAAATTTGTGCATATGTTCATAGAACGTGTTCTAGATGGAGCTGCATCAAAGTGTTAGTACAAAATATCCCTGCAGGGTAGAATTCACAGTTGTTTCCAATTTTGTTGTATTTGTGGTAGTTTGAGAATTTATTTTACAGTAAGCATGAAAAACAAAGGTTTATGTTTTGGAAAGTATGGTACTTTGAAGAAATTATTTTGGTTTCCTGGAGGAGATGGTAATGAGTTGTGCATTAAATGTCAGTTTATTCTGGCTTTTCAGAGCACACCTTTCTGTACAAATGCTCAGTGTATCCCAAAGCCATAAATAAGTATAGTTAAAGTGTATATAACTGATTGAATATCAATTTGTACAGGCTATGTATACATAGGGGTGTGTATGTGTACATATGATTTCAGTGACTTAAGAACTGTGTGAGGACAATTTCTGAACAAGGTTCTATAAGTAATAAAATTAGATTTAAATATGCTCATTCTTTGTTCTTAGTGTTTCTGATGTTCCCTTTTGTCCAGCTGAACACAATCAGAATCCTTAAAGCTCACAGGAATGGGGTGCCACAACAATCTTTATGACATAGTCTGTTGGTTTGTGTCCATTTTGATCCTTCTACCTTTATCATAACTATTAACATTTGAAATATAGTCCAGGTTGCAATTCTCAATGTTCTCAGAATTTTAACATACAATGAGTGAAAAAGAAACTGAGATTAAGGTACAACATTTGGTCTCAAGTACTGAGGTTTTATCAATACACATGTAAGGAAAAGCATAAAGAGTGAAGCTAGTGACAGCTATATGGAAAGTCTGAGGGAGGTGGAATTTATCTGGGCCCTTTTCTTCATAACCCCCCGTTCCTGGTCTGCACTGTTGATTACAAAGTCCTCAAATGTTCTTTTGTTGTATTTCAATTTAACCCCCAGCACTGTGAAAAATAAAACAAATACAAACAGAGGACTAGTTGCCTCAGGAGCAGTGAGGTATGCCTTAACCTGGGCAAGTGAAGTTTGAATAATAGCATTGTAGGTTGTAAAAAGAGAGATGCAGGATAATTATGTTTGTGCTGATGCATGCACCTGTATGTGTATGTGTGTGTCTATAAACTATGTGATGCCATAGAAATTATGCGACATAGATAGCCTGATGCTAACTGTAAACACATATGTCAAGCTTGTATTTTAAGCAACAGAATGCTGTCTGGAGTCTTTATATGTTAGCATGAAATGATCTTTCTTGGAATCTAGTAGAATCAAAGATAAATTTCTAATGCTGCTTCCACTAAGAGTCAGCTGGGTTTCCTGATCTAATTGCTAAAACACCCTAGAATGTGTACAAAGCAAAGACTTATGACAGAGAAAGGAGTGATAAATTCTGTTGTGAATTTAGAGACAAATCAGAGAAAGTATCACAGAGAAGACAGTGTTAAGTAGATAGTGGGTAAGATAAGAAAAACCTTAAGATAGAAAAAAGTCAATATATTCAATTGATGTATATTAATATGTTTGAAAATTCCATTTCTTTTCTCTTTTTCCCAGGTGTTGGGGTTGACGACATGTTCATCATGATTTCTGCCTGGCAGAAGACCAGCCTCCTGGACAGCACAAGAGACCGGCTGTCCAATGTCTATTCAAAGGTGGCAGTGTCCATTACAATCACCACCATCACCAATGTACTTGCCTTCTATACAGGGATCATGAGCTCTTTCAGGTCTGTACAATATTTTTGCATCTATACAGGAACAACCCTGTTATTTTGTTATTTTTATAGCATCACCTGTTTTGGAGCAATTATGGCCCTGGATGGTAAAAGAGAAATAAACTGCCTAAACTGGGTGAAAAGGCCAGACCCCAAGTATGCCTCATTAAAAAGGACCTGCTGTTTTCCATGTGGTTCTGTCCTAGATGGATGTGGAGAAGATAATCATCCAATGAATTTATTCTTTAGAGACTATTTTGGTCCTTTTCTCATAAAACCCAAGTCCAAGATTTTTGTAGTGCTGGTGTACATTTTGTATATCATAAGCAGCATATATGGCTGTTTCCATGTGCAAGAAGGGTTAGACCTTCGAAATCTGGCAAGCGACGATTCCTACATCATACCATATTTTAATATAGAGGAAGATTATTTTTCAGATTATGGTCCCAGAGTTATGGTAATTATTACTGAAAGTATTAACTACTGGGATGAAGATGTAAGGCAACAATTAGAAGCATGTATGATACAATTTGAAGAAAATGAATTTGTAGATAATAGTCTTAGAGAGTTTTGGTTGAATGCATATCTGCAATATTTGAAAAATGCCAAAAAGAATCCTAATGATAAGAAGACTTTTATGGACAACATTTCTGGTTTTATAACAGCTTTTCCATTTTTTAAATATGATATTAATATTTCATCATCAAATGAGATCACTTGTTCCCGGGGTTTCATTCAGCTTATGAGTGTTTCTTCCTCAAAGAATAAAAAGTTAATGGTGCTCCAACTACGAGACATAGCAGCAAAGTGTGAAGTTCCGCTGATCGTGTATAACCAGGCCTTCATATATTTTGATCAGTTTGCTGCTATATTAGAGAACACTGTTCGAAATGTCATGGTTGCATCAACAGCTATGTTCATTGTGTCCTTATCACTAATTCCTCATCCAGTGTGTTCTGTGTGGGTAACTTTTGCTATTGCTTCTGTGATTGTAGGAGTAACAGGTTTCATGGCATTCTGGAATGTCAATCTTGATTCCATATCCATGATTAATCTTGTCATTTGCATAGGATTTTCTTTTGATTTTTCTGCACATATTTCCTATGCATTTGTTTCCAGTTCTAAGGACACAGTAAACAAAAGATCAGTTGAGGCATTGTACATGCTAGGATATCCAGTGTTACAAAGTGCAATTTCAACAATAATAGGTGTATTTGCCTTATCTGTAGCTAAAGCATACATTTTCAGGACATTTTTTAAGATTATGTTTCTTGTTATGCTCTTTGGGGCTATTCATGGTCTAGTTTTTATTCCAATATTCTTAACCTTTTTTTGA